TGCCACGTTAATTACCACACTAGTCACCTTAATATTAGGACGCAGTAGTGCAACAGAGAAAGTTAGAGAAAGCTTGAGAAATACAAGATTTTTTTTGTGCGGGCACTGCCATCTACAGTTTGGAGTAATAATGACACTATTTTCAAAAACTCATCCGTTTATTAGTCAGCGTTGTTGATTTTCTTCATGCAGTAATGAAAATTATTCTTAAGATTAATATATTCTTAATCTTCTTCAAATTAAACGTGCAATAGAATCCCCAATCTTTTATTAGACTAAAATAGTTTTGTACACGTTTTCACAAAGACAGATAGACTCCAATTTTGTGTTGAAAATATGTATGTGATACTGAACATGCACGATACAGTGCATGCATTGTACCTTTGTCTTAGTCAGGAACCTGTGGTGACTTCACGAAATACCATAAAATGCTGTCACATTACAGGAGGCAGTCCTGTAATGGTTTGCAAATACTTTGCATTAGATAATGTGTACATATTCATATTGATATTTTTATTTTATGTCTGTTTAAGTGAAGAACATCTTCTTAAACTAATTATGAGAAAGTAATTAAAACTGTAGCTATGTCTTAGTCAAGTTTTCGATTTAAATTATGCGTAGGGCCCAAATGATATCAGTTATGAGTTGTGTTTGTGTGTGTGTGTGGGGGGGGGGGTCTATTTGCAAAATATATAGTACAAAAATGCTGATGGTTAGACAGAATTTTCAGTGCCATTTTATCAATAAGGCTAAAGAGTTTAAGAATGATTTATAATCAGGTTACTAATTAGGTTGTAGCACTATGTAAATTATTAATAGACAATTTTAAACAATTTATAACACAGTTTTCTTTTTATTAATCATTTACTACCATTTACAAGTGGCAAAAGGGAGCCTTATTGTAAAGTGGTACCAAATTTTCTGTTTAAGGATTTAATCTATGAATTCGACTACAGCATGTGGTTTAAGCACAATGTCAGGGCTCAATGGCATTTAACTTAATACGTAATATGAATATATGAAGACACGCAGTCTGTTATCATTATAATCATAATCATACATCGATCAGCGATAACATTAAAATCACCTGCCTAATATTGTGTGGGTCTCCCTCGAACTGCCAAAACAGCTCTGACTCCTCGAGGCATCGACACCACAAGACCTCTGAAGGTGTCCTGTGGTATCTGACACCAAGAGGTTAGCAGCAGATGCTGCAAGATGTGAGGTGGAGTCTCCATGGATCAGACTTATTTGTCCAGCACGTCCTACAGATGCTCATTTGGATTGCGATCTGGGGAATTTGGAGGGCAAGTCAATACCTTCAAACCATTCCTGAACAATTTTTGCAATGTGGCAGTGTGCATTATCCTGCTGAAAGAGGCCACTGCCAGTGGGGAATGCAGTTACCATGAAAGGGTGCACTTGATCTACAGCAATGTTTAGGTAGATGGTGCATGTCAAAGTCACACCCATATGAATGTCAAAATCCAAGGTTTCCCAGCAGAACATTGCTCAGAGCTTCACACTGCCTTGGCCGGCTTGCCTTCTTTCCGTGGTGCATCCTGGAACCATCTCTTCCCCAGGTAAATGACAAACGTACCCAGTCGTCCATATGATGTAACAGAAAACTTGACTCGTCAGACCAGGCCACCTTCTTCCATTATTCTATGTTCCAGTTCTAACACTCACATGCCCATTGTGGACATCATGGGCAGTGGAAAGGGATCAGCATGGGCACTCTGACCGGTCTGTGGCGACGCAGCCCCACATGCAGCAAACTACGATGCACTGTGTGCTCTGACAACTTTCTATCATAGCTAGCTCTCACTCCCCATGTGAATTTATGAGCCTTGGCCACCCATGACCCCATTGTCAGTTCACCAGTTGGCCTTCCTTAGTCCAGTTTTGGTAGGTACTGATCCTGCATACCACGAACATCCCACAAGACCTGCTGTTTTGGAGATGCCCTGACCCAGTCATCTAGCCATCACAATTTGACCCTTGCCAAAGTTGCTCAGATCCTTATGCTTGCCTATTTGTCCTGCTTCCAACACATCAACTTCAAGAAGTAACTTTTCACTTGCCTAATATATAATGGCACCCTTGACATGTGCCCTTGTAAGGAGATCATCAATGTTACACACTTCACCTGTCAGTGGTTTTAATGTTATGGCTGATAGGTGTAGTTCCCTGTCATCCAAGCCCGTTTATTACACCTGCAACCTGCAGTCTCTTTTCTACAGAAGTGATTATGATCAGTGTGCAGGACTCGCTCTGAGGACATCATCAGCAAGCAGCTCTGCGGGAGCTTTGGAAAGGTCCGGCTCTCTCCTTACTGGACTCTGGGAAAGGTGGTTCTGAAAGCGGCGTACATCGGCCCACCAAAGAACATGTAAGTCACCTCTTTGTTGCTCACCATTCCTGGCACCATTTTCTCGTTTGCCGAACAGTTAAGGAATTGGTGCACTACAACCATTAGGCCTAAACATAAGTAATAAAATAAAAGTAATTAAAAATGACGAGCACAAACCATTATATAAGGAGAATGTTGTGAAACTTTTTCTAAGAATTAAAGATCGAAAATGTCAAGCACAATGAAATACACCAAGATCCTGTATTGACAAGTGAGTTGAACCACTCCATAAAGCCCTCCTTCATCACGTCCCAAAGACCTTCAATGAGGTTAAGGTCACAACTCTGAGGTGACCAAGTCACACGTGAAAATGATTCCTCATGCTCCCTGAACCACTCTTTGACAATTTGAACCCATTGAATCTTGGCATTCTTGTCCTGGAATATGCCCATGCCAACAGGGAGGAAAAAATCCATTGATGATGGATGGAGGTGTAACCTGGCTATTCAGTAGATTCAGGTACTCAGCTGACTTTACTTTACTGCTGCATAATGTTGCAGGACTGTAATAATGATCTAGTCATTAGCTTTTAAGTATTTGCTGATATAAATTCAAATGGTGACCTTTTTTTTGGACGGGCAGTGTTTTTTTTTTGTATATTGCATAGTCTACTATAGTATATTTTTACACTCGTAGGCCTACAGCCAAAAGTAAATTGAAGTGACTTTTTTTTGCTAGCTGTGATTATTGCATTCACCGTTTAAAAATAAAAAAGTTTTGTACACTTTTAACACCAGCCGGTCCAGGGACTACAGGTGTGAATTAGCAATAGTGCTATAACCTGGTACATAGCATCTCTCCTTTTTTTGAGGTTAATGTATTTTGTACATTGTCCCTGTTCAAATAAATAAATAAACTAAAAATCAAAAATCATAAAGCATTTCTAAATAACTTAGATATTAATAAATCTTGTCGTTATGAATTGATCTTTAAGGAAGATGTGAGGTTGCTTGTGAAAGAAGGTGTGGAAATCTACAAACGGACCCATTACCATGTGGTCAAGCTTTCTTAGTGATTTTGGAGAACAGAGCCTACCTAGAGCCTAAAGCCTAGTTCATACTTCTCTTTACTGTGTGCATTTTCAGGCTGGGGTCAGTCACGGTCAGTGCATACATACAGCAGAATACTAAACTAGGAGAGGGCAGGTGTATTGCAACAAACACAAATACAAGCAGTGTAGTGAAACAGGTAAACTATTATGAACAGTCATTAGTCAAGTCTTAGGCGATATTACGGTAATAAGGCATATCCACAGTATTTTTAAATCTTTAAGACAAAATCAGCTCGGTGAATTTTATTGGCAAAAATTCACAATACTGGAATAGTGTTGCTTAACATACCATATACCTCGATATAATATCTGGACAGTATGAAAAATCATACAGCTGCTCACCATAACTACTACTAATAAAACACCAACTATTCATCCTCTACTATTTCGTTGTTGACCGCTGATCTGTGAAAGTCCAGGCTGCCACCTACTGGAAACACTTCATCAATTATCTTGCACATGCGCGGTCGATGTTTCTAGTAGACGTAGGGTGAATCTCATTCTCAATACTAAGAACACAAAGACTGCGCATGTGCAAGAAAAATATAGCAAGATCACGAGGACAGAGAACACACCAATTGTGGATTGAGACAGATGATGGGCGCTTCTGTATTTGCATAATATTATGTGCCCAACACATTCAGTTTCAAGGTTGATTTCAGTCATCGAATGTGTTGAACAAACATAATGCATCCATCTTTTTTCCTTTAGCAGTTCATCCTGTGCAGTGTAATAATGAGCCTGGAGTCTATCCCAGGAAGCACAGGGCATAAGGATGAAGGAACTATTTAATGTCTTTGCAGTGTGGAGGGAAGATGCATATAGTGACAGTGCTAACAAGTGCCTCCTACAGATTTGCATTAGCAATTGGTAAGCATCATAAATCTCATAACTTTATGTTTATAAAGCAAATCCTACAAAGACAGCTGGTAGTTGAACTGAAGATGACAATATTTAACAGGGAATTTAACTTTACACCCCAGTGTTTTAAGCAGTATCTCAGTATTTTATAATCCTGGACTGGCTATAGTAGGGAATTGAACTTGAAATTATCTGGGAATTATCATCTCATTGTGACAATAACTCAAGAAATCTGGCCTTAATTTAATCTGGGAAACAGCTTTATATTTACTATTAGCTGTTCAGGGATTCCAGAGTATGTATTTAAAAAGGCTGGAAGCATGTAGCCTATGTAATTTAACAGGTACTTTTAATTTACTTCATTAACTTCTTATATGGAGGCAGTTCAACTATATAAATCAAGAGATTATGTCTCTCGTTAATAAGCAATAATGAGCTATATGGTTCCTTATTTACAAGCAGAACATTATTTTCTTTTTTAATACTGGGAAGTGCTGGGCGACCGTTGACACTGACAAGTGTACGTTTAGTTTAACACTGAAATTATTTCAAGTAATGAAAACTAAAACATTTCCCTTGGGTTATGGAAAGTTTGCTGTTAAATACAAAATACGATAAAACAAATTTCCTATGTAATAAGCATGGTGTGTGTCTTAAGTATTCGTTTGATCTTGTTATCTATTTATTTAACTGGAAAGTCATACTTGCATGTGGGGGGAAAAACTAGGTTTCCTGGAGACTGCTGAGGCATAATATAGGTAGATGTTCGAGGAAATTTGTCATATCGCAGTAGGACTACACTTCCTTTAATTCTACAGAAAGACAATCATGTTTAATCATCGTGGACAAGTGTTCATCGCAAACCACAATATTTCGATCCTTAAGTTTCGGTTCTACATTTTCGTAAATTAAATAGTCCACTTGGTCCCCCTCAGGGATATGTAACCAGCATACCACATTTGTCAAAGCTTTCTTATTGCCTAATTTTTGCTGTCTTATTGACTAAAAAAACAACAACAACAACAAAATTTACGATTTGATCGGGTTCAGCGAGGACGCAGCGGGAAATATGGCAGCTAGTCTGGGGTTATGCTGCAGGAGAGGAGCGCGATGCACGTTTCTCACACACCGAAAGGACGTCGGAAAAACGCTGCAAAGAGCCCTTTCCCTTCGGTAAAACTACTACTGGTCGTTTCCGTAGTGTATGTGCTTCGGTGCAAGTTTTTTTTTTAACATATAGAACACTTACTGTACGACGAGTAATAAATCGCTTATGGCCTAAATCGAAAGCATTCTCACACCGCTAAAGAAGCGAAACTTTTGAATAAGAGATTAAATGTTGAGAACTTTGAGACAGTTGACCATGCGTTAGACTTGTACACAAAGTATAATTAATGCAAGGTAACCTTGTTTACAAAAATAGTTTCATTAAATGGTATTCTTTCATTCATACCGCAGAATGGACTCGGGTAAACAGAAAGTCAATGGAAGTGAACTGTTTTACCGACGGACTGGAAGAGGGGATCATGTCGTTTTGCTTCTTCCCGGAGCATTAGGTAAAACAATCCGTTTGCATTTACAACATATGCTGCACAGAAAAGACTTTTAAAATATTAAATAAAGCTGAAATACTTGTGTATTCGTAATGTTGGCCAGGCAGCGGGCAGACGGACTTCGGGCCGCAGTTAAAGGATTTGAGCAAAGAGCGTTTCACGCTAGTTTCCTATGACCCAAGAGGTTATGGACGCTCTAGGCCGCCTGATAGAGACTTTCCGCCCGACTTTTTTGACAGAGATGCCAAGGACGCCGTGGACCTTATGCAGGTGAGAGCATGACCGTGCCAGACCACCTCACGTTCCGAGTGCAGATCGTTGTCCTTTTTTATGTTGCATGGGAATGCATAGTACTGCAGTGAAATACGAATGTTCAAATGCAGCTAAACCTGTGTTGTGCAGTGAGCGATCACACACTAACTTTAAGGTATCTGCATAAAAGCAGTGTCCTACTATTCTTCATTGACCATAGCCAGAGTGGGTGGGGTTTGATATCCCTGGGTAAGTGGTTCGCTGTGTGTATAGTTGCTCGTATCATAAAACAGTTTATTAACTCTAGACTTTAGGTTTTGGCAAATTCTCTTTACTGGGGTGGAGCGACGGCGGTATAACAGCGTTGATCGCCGCTGCGCGGAACCGCTCCTCCGTCAAAAAGTTGGTCATCTGGGGGGCCAACGCTTACGTATCGGATCAGGACGTGAAGATATACAACGGTAAACAGATGCTACTTATTTCTTATGGGGGTTCGATCGAAGCTTACTAGTGTCTATCACAACACCGAAAACGAATATGGGAAGCACACCATGCAGTGCATGAATGTCCTGCGCTTGTAGACTACGGCAGCAGGTAATTTTTTTATAAGAATCTGAGCAATTAAATTTTAATTCTGGGGGAATATTTTGGAAATTGAAATAGAATTTTTCTTGGTTTTCGGTGGGTTCTGGTCTGTATTACTGACCAGTAGCTATGCTGGTTTGGAAAAGAGCTGCTGTACTGGACCAGTAGTAGTAGTGGTGTGCAGGGTAGATCCTTTGAACCATTCGGTGAAACACCTGTTGGCTTCAGGTGGAGTTCCCAATAAATGTCTCTCAATCTTTGTCTCCAGCCATCAAGGACGTGTCCACGTGGAGCAGCAAGATGCGGAAGCCCATGGAGGACATGTATGGACCGGAGTACTTCACTCGGACGTGGGAGGCTTGGGTGGAGGCCATGAGTGATTTCGCTCAGAGGCCAAATGGTGAGTCTGGCTCATGTGGGTGTGGCATCACGCTTAATGTGTAAGAGAGCTGTAAGCTTGGTGTACCTGGTTAAAGCACGGTTGAAGGTGTGAACTGTCCCTTACTTCCAAACGAATGAACATTAGGCGGCTCCCATCTTTTGCTCCCCATATGTGAGGGACGGTGAATGTGATCACTTCAGGAAGCATCTGCCGAGATGTGCTGCCCCGGATTGGCTGCCCCACCCTGATTGTACATGGGGAGAAGGATTCTATGGTGCCTTCCTTCCATCCTCAGTACCTGCTACAGAACATCCAGGGCTCTTGGTGAGTAAGGTGCAGCGTGGGCTAAATGTCAGACCAACCAATCAGAGCAGATCAAAGTATATGGAGAAGCAGTCATCAAACCATCCTTTCTATTAGGATCCTGTATGTTTTGGGTTCATCACCTCATCAGAGCTTTCTTCACCATTTAGGGAGTTTATGTTGGAATACCTACCATACTATAAGTGTAACAAAAGATGAATATATATGTTAAGTGTGGCTCATGTGTATTAATTTTGTGATGTAATGGTTTTTTCACGTTCAGTCTGCATCTGATGCCAGAGGGGAAACACAACCTACACTTAAGATTTGCTGCAGAATTCAACAGGCTTGTCGATGAATTCCTGTGCCAGTGAAAAGCCGGGGACCTGGGACTCTCACATGTGATTTGGTAATGACATAAAATGACAACCGGGGGTAGAAGTCACAAACACTCAGTATGACCTTCATGCATCCCCGTACCTACCATTGAAGACATAGAGGTGAAGTCTGCAGTATTTTTTCTGCATCTCCAATTACCATGATCCAGTATGGGGCATAACCTACGAAGGGCTAACAGTTTTGACCTCAGTATTTTAAAAATCCTGGCTACGGTCCTGCCTTCCTGTCTATAATAACCTTCATCTTACTCGGTATGAATTTCTTTTATGGAAATAAAAACACTCAAGTGAGTATCAGTGTGACCTTTCTAAATTTAAAAGTGGAAGATTATAGAAAAACATGCACTTGTTTAATAGTCAACATGTATTCGTAACGTACCTCTTCTGAAAATATTAAGCTTGTAACTTACCACCATAATGACTGTTTTCATAAATGAAGATGCCCTCTGTGTACCGCTGGTTATAACACCACTGGTCTAGGGCTGACGCGATTAGTCGATGACGTCAACACTGAAAATGCGTCAACATCAATATTTTAAATCAACGCATCGTTTTTTTGCACTATGTATGAGCACCACAGGCGCTGTTTGGGATGATGGACCGCCAAAACCACCGTAAGTGCTCTCTATTCATATTTATTAAATTACCATGAGTACGGAGAGCTTTTTAATACCATTTGTCCTTGTAGTTGCTAAATACACTAAGTATTAAAACCATGAATTTGTCTGCCTGCTGCTTTAGAATTTGCATTATATAAGTGTCTATGAAAATGTTTAGGCTAGAATCTGGTCTTATTCATTGTTTGACGATGCCGATGTGTGTGTTCATGCACTGGGCTTGTTGGGACCAGTGTTGTTATCGAAACTGAAACGAAAATGGACACCAAAGAAAATAATTTGTGAACTGAAAATAAAAACTGTTTACCAAAAAAAGAGTCAGACATTAATCTGCAAAAAGTCTTTTTACCTAGTAAAAGATGTTGTGCCTGCTGAACTGTCCCTTTCTTCATCACCACTTCAATGCTTATTGCTTCCATGATTTACCAAAACAGTAGCATGTGGCATGCTCTCCTACCTGAATTTAATAAGCATAAGGAAAGGCCAAATTTATACAGATTTTGGGCAGTACAATACGTATCTCATTAATATTTTAGGTGCACTACTAATTTGCTTATCTAATTGTGGATGTAAGTAATGTCCGTATAGTACCAAAAAGCCAGTGTCCATTATCTAAAGCCCTGCAATGGCATACAGTTTGTTGTCAAAATAGAACTTACTTCAAAGGTCAATTTCATTTTTGGGAGGAAAATTGTTTGGATTAATCAAATAATTGATAAAATAGTCAATAGATTAATCCATAGAATAATAGTCATTAGTGGCAGCCCAGGGAGCTGGGGGTTAAGGGTCTTGCTCAAGGAGCCACAGACATGCTGAGGCTGGGTTTGAACCGGCGACCTTGTGATTACAGGCACACAGGCTTAGCCCACTGAGCCACACGCTGCTGTTTAGATATATATCTATATCTAAACCTCAACTTCTGCATTCTAGCAATTATCACAAAGTGGTTTCTACCACCAAGAATTAGACAGTTCTGACAATGACACACCAGGACATTCACATGCAAAATGTTTTTTATTTTTTTTATTTTTTTATTAATGCCAATATTTATTTCATTAGTGCAACCGCATATGTATAGCATGAGATGGTTTCCCATGTTATTGCTAACAGTCTAATTGTCAGAAACTTCTTTTGCAACCTCTAGTACCACACAGGAAATTGTCTTAACAGATTTCAGTACTGGACTGAGGCATAGTGTCTAAAAATGGCACGATTTATGAAAAACGGGCCAGTAAGCCAAAGCTGTACTTCTGTACAACTGACACAAGCGCTTCGCTAAAATATTGAGGTGAAAGCGGCAGGAATGCTAGACATTGATTGCATGGAGTTTTTGATGGCGGCCCATGGACTCTTCTTTCCACAAACAGGCCAAAATTCTGAATAAGCAAAATTGTTCCTCTTAGCACATTAGGTTGATTGTTTTAAAGGCTATGAATCTGTGTGCTGTCAAATGGGCACGGCCAGCTGTGATGTCACGCCTCATCGTCGAGCTCATCTTCCTCAAACTCGCCCTGCTCATCTGCCGTGGCGTCCTGGTACTGCTGGTATTCAGAAACCAGGTCATTCATATTACTCTCGGCCTCGGTGAACTCCATCTCATCCATACCCTCACCGGTGTACCAGTGCAAGAAGGCCTTGCGGCGGAACATGGCGGTGAACTGCTCGGAGATCCTCCTGAAGAGCTCCTGGATGGCCGTGCTATTGCCAATGAAGGTGGCAGACATCTTGAGGCCACGAGGTGGGATGTCACAGACGGCGGTCTTCACGTTGTTGGGGATCCACTCCACGAAGTAGCTACTGTTCTTGTTCTGGACATTCAACATCTGCTCGTCCACCTCCTTCATGGACATACGACCACGGAATATTGCTGCCACGGTGAGGTAGCGGCCATGACGTGGGTCACAGGCCGCCATCATGTTCTTGGCATCAAACATCTGTTGCGTGAGCTCCGGCACGGTGAGGGCACGGTACTGCTGGCTCCCCCTGCTGGTCAGAGGTGAGAAGCCCGGCATGAAGAAATGCAGACGGGGGAAGGGCACCATGTTGACAGCCAGCTTTCGGAGGTCAGCATTCAGCTGTCCTGGGAATCGCAGGCAGGTGGTAACGCCGCTCATGGTGGCTGACACCAGGTGGTTAAGGTCCCCGTAGGTGGGCGTGGTCAGCTTGAGCGTGCGGAAGCAGATGTCGTAGAGCGCCTCATTGTCGATGCTGTATGTCTCGTCTGTGTTCTCCACCAGTTGGTGCACAGAGAGCGTCGCGTTATAGGGCTCCACCACTGTGTCTGACACTTTGGGCGAGGGCATGACGCTGAAGGTGTTCATGATGCGGTCGGGGTACTCTTCACGGATCTTGCTGATCAGCAGGGTACCCATACCCGAGCCAGTACCCCCACCCAGGGAGTGTGTGAGCTGGAAACCCTGCAGACAGTCACAACTCTCTGCCTCCTTCCTCACCACATCCAGCACTGAGTCCACAAGCTCCGCCCCTTCTGTGTAGTGACCTTTAGCCCAGTTATTACCTGCTCCACTCTGTCCTGCAATCATACACAGATGATCCTATCAAGCCCAAATACATTAAGGCAATTTATTTAGCACAGCTGGAGAATAAATAGTCAGTCTTTTATAACATGACCTAGAAACTCACTTTGTAAAGTGCAGTATATAGCTATATAAAGTTTTCTAATTAACACAACTGAGGACAGAAGCCTCTCTTGCACTAGTTTGAAATGTGTGGTGCTTGCTGACTGGACAAAGCCTCTGTGTTGTCCTTCAGCCTACGCTTCGCAGGACCCTGCTAATAGAGAGGAAGGTCCTCAGAGAGTGTGCTGCTTTGTTTACTACCCGATCACCATCTCCCACTAACATTCACACACTGCAGTGCCTTTCCTATGCCAGCATGTGTCCCCAGCAAACCCTGTTTTCAAATTCACTTTGTCCTCTGTGAAGGTGCCACTTCTGCGGTCACACAGGGCCTTACCGAACACGAAGTTATCTGGTCGGAAAATGTGACCAAATGGACCGGATCTGACCGAGTCCATCGTCCCGGGTTCCAGGTCCACGAGGATGGCACGCGGGACAAATTTGTTGCCTGTGGGAGGAACAGAGAGCCCATTGTGATGCACGTCTCTGAGCCGGCAGCACCTTCTGTGGGGGTCCTGTCAGCAACGCTGGGTGCTCTCTGATGCGGCAAGCCTAGCTGGCAGCATCCGAGAGGAGGGGGAGTTTAAATCTGCTGAATTCTCAAATCTACTTCGCTGAAAGCAGGGTGTTGTATTCCTTTCCAACCATATTCCAGAGAGATCGAGGTGCAGAAGGAATAGAGTAAAGGAATTTAGTGTAAAAACGCCTGTAAACAGGTGTGATATGTAAGGTAAAATGTGTTAACGCAGAGATGCAGATTTCTTCCATCCACATGACAATTACAGCTATAGATACCTTGTCTGTTTATCCAGCAGGGTGGAATTATCTTTAGGCAAGGTGGACTGAAATAAATTTAAAGGAATTAGATTAACAGACTAGGAGGAGTGTTGCCTAAGTGTTCCCTAGCTTTTGACGTCGTCGTGAATCACTAAGGAATAGTTTGCGATGGTAAGACGTCTGTCAGTGGCATTTTACGGCTTTACCGATTGCTTCATTGTAGTATACGTTTATTCTCTCCAGCTGCAGGTCGCTGTCTCCGTGGTAACTGCCCGTGGGGTCGATGCCGTGTTCATCACTGATCACTTCCCAGAACTGCAATACAGACCAGGACAAGGTCTGGTTAATGCACCCAAAAACGACACAGTGCACCATACAGTGCGTCTCGTGGGGCAGGAAAATAGATGAATGACATTTAATGACTGCAGCGACAATTTGGGAAAAGGACACACAAGATCCCCCCCCCCCCAAATGTCTGTCTTGCGGAGCCACTTTCAGTGACCGCACCCATCTCGGAGGCACGCAGCCCATCCGTGTTTTTATGTTACTGGGAAAAACTAGAAAACACGAAAAATTAACCAGCCAAAACTTTAGAACATAATATGGAACGTAAGCCCCACGTCCTATTTTTGAGACAATTGCTATAGAATTGCTATTATTCATTGTTAAGATTATTAATATGCTGTGAAATGATATATTAGTGTATAACTGGCTTTTAGAATTTATATCAATATAACATTTTCATGCACTGATGAGCTTATCGTGATGCTTCAGAAAACTTTCTAAACTAAATTATAAAAATACATACCTTGGCACCTATCTGGTTTCCACACTGACCAGCCTGAATATGTACGATTTCCCTCATGGCTGCTCCCGCTGGTTTGTGCCCCGGTCACACGGCGACCTGTTTCCTCTTTGGTACCCAAATGTCCAGCGAAGATGCGGTTGTGTTCAGCAGTGGGCAGTTATCATTTCTCCGTGGAACTGCGCAGCCGGCAGATGATTGGCTGGCCGCAGGGGGCTGGCTTTCATCGCGTCACCGGCAGCCTATCGCTATGCGGACAGTTCGATGCAGCTGTCGCTGTCGCTTCTCTGAACGCTGGACCACTTTTGCGCTTCTCCGAGTCCGATCTGCACCGGCATTTACACATGAATGTAGTAGCTGTAGATGAGGTTAGACTGAGTGGGTTAGCCTTGGAGTCCATTTGTATTAAATATCTTGGTGCAAATCTTTTAAACTTTGTGTTAGGGAGGATTTGCACTGTACTTACTGGATCACCCTAATATAGTCTGGATCACCTTTTCCGATAGTACCCCGGCTCTGGTTTGTGCTTTTTATGCCTCCACCCACAAGGGGCAGGCTTTTTAATGTTCCAATTTAACTATGACATTAAATATATGACGCTTTCTTAAAATCTACTGCTTGCAAAATACACACAGATGCCGAATAATGGTATTGCTTACATGCTGTGATACAAAGATGTAGAAATTTGGCATATAATAGTTTAATAAGTTTTAAACTACATAAGTAGTTCGGAATGTCATATACAGGAAGTGACGTCGACAAAGCCGTTCAAGCGTGTTCCATGTGTTCTTAAACATCCGGGTTTGTGACTGACACTTTCGAATTTGTGATGGACGCGGTGGATTCCGATGCGATCTCGGTGCACGACTTCTCGGAGAAGATTTTAGAGCAAGTTGTTCATTTCCATGTGATGAAAATGAAAGGCGGGTTCTTCCTCTGGATCGGCGCTACTCCCAACCTGTCAAACTTGGCTGTTTCAATGAGCAGTAAATACGTAAGTTTTAATCATTATTATAACGGTTACACCAACGCGCTTAGTTTGATACTATTTAGTAATCGCGTGTAAAGGAATTCTTTTCAGCCAGTTGATTCCATCGATTTAATACCTCTAAGTCAGGGGTGTCAAACTCCATTCCTGGAGGGCCGGACCCTGCAGAGTTTTTGGTTTCCCCTCATTTAACACACCTGATTCAACTCCTTGTGCTAATTCAACAGCTCTTGAGCTGAATCATTTGTGGTGGAACCGGGAAAGAACTAAGCTACACAAGGCTCCGGCCCTCCAGGACTGCAGTTTGACACCCCTGCTCTAAAGTGATGAGTGTAGTAGTTGTAGTTATAACCCAAGACATTAACATGGTAGTTAATAGTTAATATGAAGAGTTCCATTTAGTTTTGTAATAGTTCTCGGTTACCAGTTACCAACTCAATCATCTATGATGTATATTTGTGTTTTAGTGAATGTGTACATGGTTTGTGTGTGTATGTATGTATGTATGTATGTATGTATGTATGTATGTATGTATGTGCGCGCGTGCATGCGTATTGGGACACCTGACCATTACACCTACAGGAACTTTTACGACGTCCCATTCTAAATCCATAGGCACCAATATGCAGTCGGTCCCCCGTTTGCAGCTATAACAGCTGCCCCTCTTCTGGGAAGGCTTTCCACAAGATTATGGAGTTTGTGTTTGGGGTCTTCTGGAGGAGCGAATCAGCATCACATAGTGACCTGACCACTGTTCTGCAGGAGGAATGGCTCAAAATCTCTCTGGCCACTTTGCAGGACCTGCCTTGTATCTGTTATATCAAACGCAAATTGATGCTGTATTGGCTGCAAAAGTAGGCCCTACACCATAGTATTGGGGGTAGCGTGTGGCTCAGTGGGCTAAGCCTGTGTTCCTGTAATCAGAAGGTCGCCGGTTCAAATGCAGCCTCAGTTCGTCTGTAGGTCCTTGAGCAAGACCCTTAACCCCCAGCTCCTAGGGCTCTGCTACAGGTGGCTGCCTTTTGCAGACAACTTACTCTATAATGAGCAAGTTGAGGGAGGCGTAAAAACACTTTTATTGATCCCCGTGGGGAAATTATCTAGTATTATTATTAGTAATACATTATAATGGTCTAAAACCAGGTGTTCCAGTTTCATTGTCCAATCCTTATATAGTCTGAGTGATATACATATGGCTGTGTGTGTTTCTATTCATACATGTGTAATGCATGTGCAAGTGTCTGTGTGTATATTTATATACATACAGGTATATGTGTATGGGTGTATATAGTCTATGCATGAATGTATGTATTTAGATATAAATATCTACGGACATGTGTCTGTATGTATAGACACACTTTCATATGTGTGTGCACATGCAAAAATGATTCTGCGTGTACACGGGTCACAAAGCATCTCTGATATGTGCCCTCATTCTTGTCTTCTCATCCAGGATTCAATGCCATTGTCAACATTACTGCTAGGAGACCCGTCAGACACAGCACCAAATGCACTGGCACAGAGACTTGGTAGGTACCAGTAAACTGCTCTAGGGTGCGTTTCCTAAAAGCTTTGTAATGGTCAGTATTTTGCCATCTAGCACTTAAGATGAGTCATTAATTAGTGAATGTTTCTCGAATCCCCTGGTAACTAAAATAGTTTGTAAGCTCAGTTGTAAATTAATGGGTGCTCTGATCCACTCGTTATTTTCCGCGTTGTTCTTTCTTTGAACTTTTGCCTGCTGTCATGTCACAGACACAGAGATTGACCAAAACTGATCACATTGATCACATTGAAAACTACACTGATGGTCTTTTTGATATTTGGATGATATAGTAATAGGTCAATACTTCAATATAAAACTGTAATGTCGACTATAAATTAGCACAAAAGGGGCTCATTGTTGTAACACCTGTATGTCCTTTGAGTACATGGTTGTGCATCTTTCAAAACTGAATAGAGAACGACCTTGAAAGTCAAATTCAATTCATAAAATTGGTTGAAAACAGGTTGCAGAATCTCAGTTTGAATCTGAATATAAGGAAGTAGAATAAAAATCGGATTTCACATAAATTCATATGCATAGTGTAGGTGCAGCTGTAACAATACAGCTTAATATTTACACAGCATGTTAACATAAATGGCATACATTGAGTTCCAACCTCCCCGCAATCAGGAAAATTTACATCAGCCATGCCCCCCTGTTCAAGCACCTGTCTGAGAAGTTTGTGCATGTTACTGTTAAGAATGTGTGTTACATTCGAAGTGTCGCCTATAGAATAAATAATTTAACTGTGGTTTTGTGTACCATGGTGAAAGAGCACTTCATACCGTCATAAAAGTAACCATCACAGCCCCATTCATCTGACAACCCACGGACACTAA